CCAGCAACTGACGTAGTGGAGTTGTTATCTGTGCCATATTTGGAATTGGCAACATACGTAACAATGCCCAAAAATCTCTTCAACTCTTCGCAATTTGTAGGCTGTGGCATCTCCTTAATCACTTCAGTTTTCCGGGGGTCTGGTTTCAGTCCATCTGAACTCAAAACATGGCCAACATAACTTACTTCGGGGACACGAAATCGACACTTCTCTGGATTCAACTTAAGGTTTTTATCTCGACAGCGTTTTAAGACCAAACGAAGTCGTTCGTCATGTTTCGTCACGTCTTCTCCCCAGACCACCAAATTGTCCACGATAACTTCGACTCCTTCTATATCTGAAAACATATTCGACATAATACTCTGAAATACTTCCGGAGCAGAAGCTATTCCAAACGGTAATCGTTTATAACTATACCTTCCAAATGGAGTATTAAACGTGGCTAAGTTACTGCTTTCATTGGCCAATTTCACCTGCCAGAAACCATGATTGGCATCAAGAACACTAAACACTTTGGCATTGGGCATTCTGCTGACAACTTCTTCAACGGTCTGCATAGGAAAATGCTCTCGCATAACCACTTTATTTAAATCGCTAGGATCCATGCAGACTCGAATTTTATTATTTGCTTTTCTGGCGATGACTAAAGTATGTACCCAAGCGGTGGGTTCATTCTTTTTCTCAATAACCCCCAACTTCTCCATTCGACGCAACTCTTCTTCTAGTGGCTTTCGGAGGGCCATAGGAACTCTTCGAGGAGGATGCACCACTGGAATGGACACCGGATCAATCTTAATCTGGTACTGAACATCTTTAATCTCTCCCAGACCTTCGAAAACGTCACTGAATTCTGTTTCGATCTTCGGTGGGTCCACTTCCAAGCTATAAACTCGCTTTACCAACCCGAGTTCTAGACAGGATTTTAATCCTAAAATCGATGGTAGATCTTGTTCAACTAGTACAAAGTCTAACACGGTAAATTTGCCTTTATACTCGCACTCTAAGCTGACTTTTCCTTTCGGAGTTATCTTACGGCCATCGAACATCTTCAACTTGCTCTTATTTTTGAAAATTATTGTATTTGTTAGTGACAATTGCTCAAACGACGATTGCGAAATCACATTACAATCTGCCCCCGTATCTAATTTGAAATTCAAATCCGTTTTTCCAAACTTAAGCTGGACCATGCCAGTCATTCTTTGAGCTGCCCTCGTTATTTGACTCTACTGAAAATGTCAATAAATCATCCTCGCTAACTTCGCTGTCTTCGAATTCCCCCAAGACATTCACTTCTCTCAGTCTAGAGTCACGTTGTCGTTGCTTCGCTCGACACACACGCTCAAAATGTCCTGTCTTCTTACAATAGTTGCATGTTTTGCCGAATGCCGGGCAAGATCTTAATGCGTGAACCATACCACAGAATCCACACTTTTCGGACTTTGTTTTTTCACGACGGCTACCTATCTGCCCTTTTCCTTGATTGGCGTCATATCGAAGAACATTTACCGACTGATTTGCTTCGCTCGACTGCGCCCTAGCATTCATGACTTTAATCTGTCCCTTCGACGCTTCGGCTGCTCTAGCCATACTTATAGCTTTTTCCAGTGTAAGTTTCTCTTCTCTTAACAATCTTTCTTTCACAGTTAAGTCTTGTATACTAAACACAAACTTGTCCCTTACCATATCGTCAACCGATGTATATTCGCACGATTTTACTTTGTTCTTTAATCTTGTGACAAATTGGTCAACCGTCTCTGAATCTCTCTGCGTAATTTTCCAGAACTGGTATCTCTCGAAGACTACATTTTTTCTGGGGTTACAATACCTTTCAAACTGTTCGATAAGCTTATCCAATTTCTTATCATCCCCAGCAGAAAACTCGAAAGTATTGAAAACTTCTATAGCATCTTCGCCGGCAAAATTTAACAATATGGCTATTTTAATCGGGTCGTCTTTGTCTTCGCTTCCCGACGCGACTAAATATATCTGAAACTGCTGCTTAAATCGTCTCCAATTTTCTGATGTATTTCCGTCAAAACTTAAAGCACTCGGCTTGTGAAAGCTATCCATAGTATCCCACTCCTGACACCATGTAAAATACGTTTAATATCCGTATCTAAATATCCCACAGTCTTGTCAACAACAAGTCTTTTATATCATACTAAATGCTAATTTACATAAACTGTCATGCTATATGTGACACTATACTTTTGTATGCGAGTTCACTCATTTGCAACTGTCAGAAACACAAAATCGCCGACAAAATTTCTAGTGTAAATCGGGCTTAATATTATTGCGCGCGTAGCGAAAACTCTCATCAAAATTTGAACCAGCTCAAATGACAACCTCGTTCCCAGGCTCCTCAACAAGAGGGAAGAGCCTGGGAACGAGGTTGCTCAAATGACAAAGTTGACGAGAATGCACGAGAGTCGATGAGTGTTGATGCGATTTGTTGGTCAAACGCGAGCGAGAGTTGAGCAACTCTCATCAACTCTCATATCAACTGTTGTACAGTAACATATACCATTTTATCATTATATGTACATATTATACTACGGAACAAAAATTCACTGCTATATAAAAGTGAATAAGTTATTGAAAAAATACCCCCAGGGCCCCAACAAAAACAACAGCGACAACAACAATGACAAAATAAAACACATATAATACTAATAATCATGAAATAAAGTTTTACGTCGTCAATTTTTCATCTCACTATCCACAGATGAGGGTCTGAATGGGGTTACTGACAAAATATCCCAACTGACTACTGAGAAATGATGAAAAAAATTATAAGTCAGCATTTTGCAGTAACTGACTACTGACAGCTTGCAATAGATCGCACTGACAACTGACAATTGGCTTAAATTTTAGCTGACAACTGACACCCAAAGACCCCCATTAAGACCCTCACAGATCGTTGCCAAGAATTGAAAGGACCTCACAATACACTTTTTCGATAATTACGTCATATGGCCTGGGAGCCTCGCTCTCGTGAACCGTGAGCCAATCACCTTGCGTAATTTACTAATGAAAGCCAGGCTCATAGGCGTACCGGGCGGGGGGGCGGGGGGGGCGGCAGCCCCCCCAGTTTTTTGGGCAGTCGGGCAATATTCGATGAACAGTCGGGCAATTTTGGTTTGCAATAAAAAA